ATGAGATACAGACACTGGTTAATTCTTGGAAAACCCTTGACAAGCCTGTTCGGAGATTATTCAGTGTCACTGCTCTTGTTACCTCAACTGCCTTGGAAAGCCTCAGCTTTTCGCCTTCCATCCGCCTTTGGCAGGCTGCAAGCTCTGATTTCTTATCTGCAACAGGATCCTGAGCATCTAAAACCTGTCCATTATCAGGCCCAGTAGCAGGAACGCTGGTACCTACCATAGGGTATGGGTGGTAGAATTTCCTTTCCATGCTTTGAAGGGCTGAAGCCTTCTTCTCAAACTCTTTCGATAGGGTTTCCGTTCGCTTTTTAATCCTGTGCTCTTTGGTTTGCTTGACGGATATGTCATGGACAGCCTTGATAAAGCTCTTGATAGCTTCTGAAGCAACTGTATCAGGAACTCGGTCAAGAGCAAGCTTCCACTGATTAATAAAGTCCAATACAGTAGAGGGTTGCCCGTTGCCATCAACATTATCGTTGCTTACAGGTATAAGGGTGAGCTCGAACCAGCCATGGAGGGAACGAATAAAGTCCCTTTGAAATTTTATCAAGCGGCAGAAACTAGAGTGCCAGGCAGAGACAGCAGACTCCAGATCATGGGTTGCCCGCCTACGCAGTTCAGAAGTAGAGTCACCATTTACAGATATGTTTACGGGGCCAGCCACTTGTTGCACAATGTGGTTCTGAACTTCGTGGTACTGACGCATTGACCTCCACATGTACATGAAGCTGCACTCAATAAAATGAAATATGTATATAAGGATTAAAGTTAAATAATTCTACCACAACAGTTTCAGTATCCAGATATCGCAAGTTGCTCTACAATGAAATGTTGGAAATTCAGATTGCCAAGAAGGAAGGTGGTGCAAACAGAAAATGTCATAAAACCCAATCATGATTATAGAGCGAACTTTTACAAATCTCACTTCAATTATCATGTATAGCATCTCTTATCTGCCAACCACTTGTGCTAGCAAATATGTTTCACTGCACCGCAACATGGTCTGTTGAAACACTCAATAATAGAGAGGTCCAGCTCCCAACAGCCTCTAAGCAAACCATAATTACCTACCTGCTTGGCAGTAATGTTTTAGCTAGAGCCCCGCCCACCACCACCACAAACTGAGTCCCTGACAACAGGGAGCACTATAGATCTCTCAACTATTTTATGCCCTAATCAATAGTTTGAAATGATGATCATAATAAGTTATGAGAAAAACATTGACTACATCCAGGTCCATCAATCTTGAAAAGAGAATGTCAGGTACTATGATAGTTAACTCTAATCTACCTAACTCACTCCCTACCAATCCGTGGAATGGAAAGGATCCATGGATTAAAAGAAATAGAGTCATGGGGGCTAGTGCAATACTGGGGCCTGTCTCTGATTTTAAAAATATATACAAAAAGCAATGGGACAATTTAGTGGAATTCAAGACACGTGCTTACTGAGTGAATGAATTAAGCAACATACTAGAGTAATAACTCATAATGATTCACCAACCAGATCAGCACGTATTACATAAGATAAAAAATCAGCACAAGATTCAACTCCCCAGTAATAACTCAAAAGTCATTAACAGTTTAACACAAGTTCAGATGTGCGCTAATCACCACTGGCGACATAAGATTCAATTTTATTATCATCAATCCAATCACAGCTCACGCTAAATACTCATTGTTGAGAAGAGAAGAGGGATGGGTGCCGGAGGGATGGATGACCATTAAAACTATTGCATCCAAGGATTCATCTTCACTAGAGGGACAGAAACTTGTTCAGGATTTCACTGAACCAGAGAGGCACCTCACTATATATCAGGTATGGTATATGTCATTGTGTATGGAATATGGATGTTCATTTGACAATTAATTCAGTGAGTTCTCATCTTAAATATAAAAAGGAAGAAGTTGAAGAAACATACCCATTACAGAGTTCCACAAGCTGAGGAACAAGATCACTGTCTCTAAGATCAATGATTGAAGTTGAGGTAGTGGAGACAGCCCGAGAATTGACAATAATCAGTGAATGCAGTCTTTCTATAGAGGCCTTCGTCTTATCTAGCTTGGTTTCGTTTCTCCCCTTGTACTCTTGACTCTGCAATGCCGACAGCTTCTTGTCGTGCTCAATCTTTGCACCCTCTCTAGCCTAAAATCATCAACAATCCGTCACCACCGCATTGACACAAACAATTTCAAACTTTAAACCAAATATCGCATGGCATAAACCAAATGCAACAAAATGATCCCTTTCCTTGTCTAGATAGAACATACAAGCCCACAGTATATTTAATATAATTTTAAATGGAATAAAATAAAATTGTAATTGAAACTAGGTTCTAAAACTGCGCTAAGCGCTGTTGGTTTATATCAGTCTGTTTAATAATTACAAATAAAATAATATTAATTTATAATTGAAATTAATTTTTAATTAATAAATATAAAAATCATTTTAAACACATGTTAACTTATTATAAATATATATATCTAACTTTCCCATCTTATTATAAACATATATCGTATTTTCATATTAATTAATTTGAGATAAACACAATGGAGTAGTTCATCAAATCTTCATTAATTTCTTCTTTTTTTTTCATCTATTATTATTACTATTGTATATCTCTTTCTATCCTAATTTGTCTTCTCTCTCCTAAATGTCTATATTAGAAGGTTTTTAAGTCAAAACATAAAAGATATAGCTCATTAGTGTTATTTTCTTCACACTTTTTTATTTAACTATATTTCAAAGTTTCATTAATTTTTTTAACAACATCATCTCTTCGCTTACCCTTACATATTTTATTATTATATTTATCAATCTACTTATATGTCCTCACTTTCTCTTTCTATATTAATAATTTGTTTAATATTATTCTTATGCACCTTATTCTTCCAATATGTTATTCTTTTTAAGTCACTCATCATATATCTTTTCTTATTTCATTTCTCTCTCTCTACCTTCATTTATATATGGTCTAAATCAAAATATAATAAACACAACTTTTTAACATCATCCTAATGGTAATTTTTTACTTACATACCATTGCTCCACCTCTAATTATGCCTTTCTTGAGAAATTATCTCTTAACTTACATATTTTCTCATTATATATATCCATTTAAACTATATCTGCCCTCTTTTTTCTTTTTTCTTTTTTTATATTAACAATTTATTTGTTATTTTTCTTTCTCTCCTTATCATCCACTCTATTATTTTTTTCTTAGCCCTTACATCTGTATCTATCATTATATATCTTTTTATCTAATTTTCCTCTTTCTATTTATCATTAGATATTTTATATTTTCTCAGTATCTAAACTCCCATTCACCATCGTTTTGTGGCACTATATATGAAGTTGAAGCCTTGAAGGTAATTATATCAAAAGCACCTAACAAAATAAAATGTTTATGTATGGTGGAAAATTTACTTTTTGCATCATTGATACTACAATCCCATCTATTATTAATTGTCACGTAATTGAAAAATTAACACCAAATTGATTTATTAATTGTTTTGTTAGTAAAACTATGTTTGAGTGTGCCATACAGTAACTTATGTTTTAAAACACATATAAATTCTATAAGTTTAGATTTGAACTCATCGTTTGTCATTCATAAAAGAATTCTATATTATTGATCCCAACTTCTATTAAAAAAATATAATTCCAAACGTATTATTTGGTCCAAGTGTGTCAATTCTACTTTTCTCCTTTTTTTTTTTTCTTTGCCTTCGAAATTATTATGTTATTCTCCTATTTTATGTGAGTAAATAACACTTGCATATTCCATCTGTAAATGTTGCTCACGACATTTACTTCTGATCTATTGTTTCTTGATCTTATAGTTATTCATTATTGATATTTTGATTTATCATGATGAGTTTCATCTTAGTTCATTATGAAAATTTTATTTATTAGTAACAAAGTTCACTTTCGAATTTGAAGGTATTATTCCAAGGCTTAAGTCACTACTTGTTATGGAATTGGATTTGATGGTACTTATTTGACATACTTATTCTACTGTTTCTTTTTATCTTGTCCCCTTTTTTTTTTTCTCTCTCTCTCTCTTTTTGTGTAAAAGGCATTTAAATGGCTGTATGCTTAGCTTGACTTGATGGTTTTTTTGTCATTTCGTGTTAAAAATATACTATTCCTCTAAAATTCTTTTCTCATTAAGATTTTACTTTGCAAATTATTGATAATTTTTTAAATTTTATTGAGAAATATTTGGGAAGGTGATTTCTTCTAAAAGTCATTTTTTAAACTATAGTCTTCTCATGCAAGCCATATGGTAGGGCAGTATTGATTTAATCATCTTTTGCTTAGTGACAGAATAGAACCTTGGTGGAGTTTTTGTATGTTGAATGTGACTTTTTTAGCCCTCATTTCACAAACCCTTTTTCCTATAAATTCTTCTAATTTCATGAGCGTTGTAGTCCTTGAGAATTTAAAATTGAAGGCAAGGGCCCTAAGTTCTTTACAACTTCTGTTCACTATCACTTTGTGGCACTACGAAGTTGAAGCCTTGACCTTGAGGGTAATTATTGCAATTAGTGGTGATAGATGTGATCTAGATTTCATGTCTTTAGCGTAAGCAATAATAATACCAATAATAATAATTTATAATAATAATTTTATTTTTCTTATTATTAAATAATTAAAAATTCACAATATAAAGATTTATAAATTAGTTATATTTATATTGTATTTTAACAATTAAATTAAGTAGGTAACTAAATATATGACAAATTAGAGGTGTAATAATAATTTTTTAATAAATATATTAAAAATTTTAACGAAATTTATTAAA